TTTCCTGGATCACATGAATAAAGAGGCATCAAACACATTAGAACACAGAAGAGAGAGGAGCAGGAGTAGGCAATGGTACTCAAAGGTAATTAGTGAAAAATAAGGAGGAAGAGACACACCGAAAAACCTCTTATGCAGACCAACAACACTGTGCTACTAGGTCTGTGATTTGAGGAATATGGCTCATTAATTACCCTGGCATAAAAGGTTCAATCCCTCCACCACAAACAAACACTAAGGTATCCTTAAAATTAACGAAATCTCAAAAAATATATTAACAGGGATTTGGATAAATACTAAAATTGGTTCTTTTAGCCAACCTACTAGTTGAAACTTTCTATTGGAGAAAACACCCATTATTTTTACTTAGCAAAATAACATAAAAATAAATGGTTTCACATGATATGTCCTTAATCAAACTCACTGGATGCTATCTCATTAGAAATGAAAAAAATTAGCAAAAATTAGAAAGCAAACAGAATTGAGTGAAAGATTTATGTGGTAAGGAAAAAAAAACAATCTCAAAGCCAAATAGAGCATAAATTCCTTTCTAGAGGACAAAAGAGTGATAAGGACATGGGTAAGTCCTTGCCTTTGGGTAAGTACACATATCTATAGCACACTTCATGATATGAAGGACAAATGTATATCAAAATCATTAATTTAAACAAGAAAGGGAAATGCAGTCCTCTTTGTTAACTTCAAGGACAGAAGCAGCATTTGTAACAGAACAGAGCACATGTATACACTTGCTCTAATTCAGTTCCTTGCTCTAATTCAGTTCTATCTTTCCTCTCCAATAAATCTAAGATATCAATCACCTTACCTAATGTAAATGTTCATAAATATGAATAGATACTCAATTAAAATGTGGTTTTTTTTCCTTTTTCTTTTATTATTCATATGTGCATACAAGCTTGGTTCCTTTCTCCCCCCTGCCCCCACCCCCTCCCTTACCACCACTCACCCCCTCCCTCTCCCCCCCTCAATTACCCAGCAAAACTCATTTTGCCCTTATTTTCTAATTTTGTTGTAGAGAGATATAAGCAATAATAGGAAGAACAAGGGTTTTTGCTGGTTGAAGATAAGGATAGCTATACAGGGCAGTTGACTCACATTGATTTCCTGTGCGTGTGTTACCTTCTAGGTTAATTCTTCTTGATCTAACCTTTTCTCTAGTTCCTGGTCCCCTTTTCCTATTGGCCTCAGTTGCTTTAAGGTATCTGCTTTAGTTTCTCTGCGTTAAGGGCAACAAATGCTAGCTAATTTTTTAGGTGTCTTAAAAAAGAGAAAAGAAGCACAATCAATATTCTGTAACTGAACTGAAGAGAAAAGGAAAATGAGAAATCTTAGCACTAGAAGGAACTTTGGACACTAATTTGCCTGAACTTTCATTTTCACATGGAATAGAAAAAAGTCAGAGAAGAAGACAAAAGACTGGTAAACTCCTGCTCCCATGTAAACAGTTCAAAATTAGGTTAATTCCAAGGGACAGAATCCCTTAGGTCTGCTACATTACAGAACTAAGCCTTCAGATAGCCCCATTCAGACTCCAAACAACCCTTCTTTGTGTAGCAGCCCCATCCCTTATGTGGAAACCAAAAGCATAGTAGTACCAAATCTCCCCACTTGTTTTCAATATTCTTTATAGAATAAAAGGAATGCAGGTATTAAGTATGTTCTCCTAAGAAGATGCAATAGCTTACTGGCATAAGAGAGACTCAAGGTCCCTAAGAAGAAAGTGTGTCTATAAGCAGAGAAAGCTCCACCTACAAGAACAGAATATCTGGAGTAGTGCAAGTCTCAGATCACAAGTAAGTGTAATACACTAGCCAGGCACTGGTGACTCACGCCTGTAATCCTAGCTACTCAGGAGGCAAAGATCAGGAGGATCACAGTTTGAAGCCAACTGGGCAAACAATTCGAGAGACCCTATCTCGAAAAACCCCCTCACAAAAAAAGAGCTGGTGGAGTGGCTCAAGGTGTAGGTCCTGAGTTCAAACCCCAGAACCAAAAAAAAAAATAAATAGAAGTAATGCACCAATCTTGAGACGATTTCCATTTTTACAATTGGTAACAGCTAATAATTTTTTAACTCCTGTAAATTGCTGGAGATGGGTTACTCTTCTTCTATTGTTCTTTTAAAGAATGAAGGACACTTTGTCTCTTCATGACTTTATGGTACTGAGTGGAAATGGCAGAAGTGGGAAATCTATTCCTTACACAATTAAGTAAAAGAAAAAAGTGCTCTTGTGATTTTTTTACCACTTCCAGCTCTGTCTTTGACTTCTGGGGTCATAATTTAATCTGAGATAATCTGTTTATTCCACAAGTGTTGGACTTTAAGTTGCTTAGATCACCTTTAAGTCACACTTCAAACAGATAAAAGAAAAGACAAAAAAACAAACTAGTTAGAAAGTGCTAGTAATAATATATAAATAAATAATCAAAACATAAGTTACACACCAAAAATTGCAAGTAAAGGAAATCCTAAATACAAAACAAATGTTAATCACTTTCATATTTCTCCTCTTCTGTTTCTAATAAGAAAACAAAAGAAAGTCTGTCTCTCCACTGTAACTTTTCAGGGAAGGGACATTATTTCCTGATCTTAAGTGCTTTGTGTCTAGGACTAAAGGACAAAGAGGAGCCAGCTAAATCACATCTCTCAGTCACTTCGTAGAATGAGAAGGTGTACCATTAAGAACACTCTAAGAAAGAAAGACGCATTCTTGTGATAAATATAGCATGGGATATGCTAAAACACAGTGTCACACTCATATGAACTTTGAAGATAGCTCAGAAATTTGCACATTTGCAATCATCTCTCTGAGCTATGTCTTCTTTATTCTCAAAAGATTCATTTACTTTCTTCCACAATCAGGAGTGTTTTACTGTGAACGTCCAAGAAGTACTGATGTAATAGAAAAAGCAAACACTAAAACCAACAACCCTGAACTCCTGTAATATGGGAGTTCAAGTCCTGCATCTATTCATTTTGACCGACCAGGTCACTAACCTCTCATTTTCTTACCAGCAGACTGAGATAATACCATTTATGATTTTATATATTGCTTAAATTGTAAATTCCTATTAGCCGCAAGGTATAAGTAACATTTTAATACAAATGGCTTAATATTTCAGAAATGATATAGAAGTTCTGGAAAAATATAAACTTAATCTTTGAAAAGTATGACCTCCCATGATAAATTTTCCTTTTTTCTCTTGCACTAAAAGAGAAGGGAAAATAGTGGAACAACATACAGATTTCTGGAGTATCATGGAATGGAAAAAGCTGAGGGTTAGTTATTGGTTGCTAAAGTTACAAGTATATTAAAAAGAAAATATTGATTATACTTAATCCTTTGAGAAGAGACAAGGATGGTCCTAAGAATTAAAAAAGAATTGGGTTTCTTCCTAATTGCTGACATTACAAGTTGGTCTTCCACAGCTGTGCTCCTGTGGCAATCAAAAGAAAACTTGGCTTACTGTCCTCGCTGAACTGAAGAAAATGGAGCTGCCTTCCAAAAGGTAGGAAATCTGATTTGCTTTCTTATTGCATGATTCAACTCTTATACATGTTAAGACATGAATAAAATCAGAAGATTCTATTAGAATATATCAATTGTACAAAAAAGTACATTGTATGCACATATGAATAAAAGAAAAAAAAAGTAGAAAATCTTGAATGGGGTAAGTAATGGACCTAGATGCTGAATTCAAAGATCACCAAATACAATGAAAGAAAAGCAAGTATTTCAGGATAGTTAAGAGTACTTTATTATTTTTGAAGTGCAGTGGCAAACTCTACTTCATTTATACATTGTTTAACAAATCTAAGTATGTGAGTAAAAAGTAGAATTAGCTTTTAAAAAGGAAGCACATTTACAAATGTGTTCAGCCACAACCTAGTGGGATCCAGGAGCTTTCTCTTCCCCCCATAGCAACAGTACATGGTTGGCTCAGACAAAATTATTATTTGTTCAAAAGCCTTCTGGCAAGCCCATGCAACAGAGCTGGTCAAACAAACTCTCCAGATAAGGACCCTGAAAGCAGTTATGAACATACGATCTGTTATTACAGTTAGTCTTGGATAACATGATCTTTATCGGAGTTTGTCTTAAGTTTTTCCAGCTCTCACCATTCAAATATTCTTTTTTGCTCCAAATAAATTAATGTGCTAATAACAGTTTTTTTGAAACATAGACAACACCAGAGACTATAGATGAACATTTATCTCCTGTTATGGAAACCCTAGCACAATTTTAATAAAAAGTTGGAAGAAATACCTATTTAAATTAAATCAAGAAAAGGAAGTTTACTGTTTTCTGAGGAAGCAAACTGACATTTTTTCTTTGATTTCCTTATGCTTTGGAATGAAGGGCAACTATAAACCCTTAAACAAACCTTTAAAATAGGCTATGCTGTGCACCAATGTTTGGTTTTGCCTTTAATGAGTCACTTATGTTATTTTGCAGGTATTCTAGAGTGATATGCATCGCCAAGCCACAGACTCTCCTAACACTCTCACTCTGGGATTGTATTTTTATTTTCAGACACCATAGCACAGTGGAAGATAAACTGAGTTCCCAGTGTCATTGTCCCTAAGTAATAGTCTCTGGGATTCTTAACCTGTCTTTCATTTTTATTATTAACACATACTAACTGTACAAATTAATGAGATTCAGTGTGCTATTTCCATACACACATACATTGTGCACTGATTTTGGACATCTACCCTTAATCCATCTCGATCTCAATTTTATGCACTGTAAAACCAAAGCATTCAGTGGTGTCTACATTTCTAATTTTTCCTTCCTCAGCTTCTAAATAATACTTGGTGTGCCCTTGATTAACAAATTCCACCCAAGAACCTGTAGCCCATAAGTGACAACTTCTAAACAAGAGATTCTTAAGAACTTCATCAATTCTGACTTTATCAGTCTAGAGTTGGAGAAAAGAAGGGGAGTGGGAAGGGAAGTTGCACAAGTACTACTTACTTTTCAAAGAAATGTCTGACGATCAGCAAGAGAAAAGCATATGGAATTGTCATATACAAATGAGAAGGTTTGGCAAAGACGAGTCCATCGTGATCATCAAGATCTGACCACTTTATTGTTGGAGGAAGCCAGAATCCTTCCTGCCAGAACCATTCTTTAAATGCGTGAAACATTCTAGAAAAATAGAAAGAGACTATATTAGAATCTACTAGATTTGTCACATCAACACTTAAAACAGAAAATCTTGACCACCTTCACACAAACACAAAATACCTAAAACAGAAGCACTATGAAAATAAAGCAAGAATGGAATACTATTATTTAAGGGTTCATTACTCTTTATTGCATTTAATAAGAATTACTCTTCCAACAGGCTCAGAACCATTTTAGCTATGGCATGGAAGACTGAAGTTTAACACACTACTGTTCACACCTTGGGCAGCACATATGTGGATATTATGGGTGTGCATTTTCCTCTTAGATGATTTTATGATTTAAAAATATTTAACAATAGGTTTTACAACTTCGAAATGTCAGAAGTCAACCTCTTAAAAACTCTAAGTTTCACTACTGCTCTAAGGAATTTTCTAGAAAATAAAGGACAGCCACATTTAATTTCATATTAAAACAAAGAATTAAAATTAGTCTGTGTAGATAATTGTTTATGGAGATTCTGTTATTTGCGAAGCACTATGCTGGGCACTGGGTACACAAATTAACAGGACAAGGCTCCTGCCTTGGGGACAAATAGTCACATAGGCAAAGCAGGTCTGAACAGGTGACTTCAACACATTTTTTTAGGTATAATAAAAAAGGTAACGAGAAGATGCTGTCAGAAGATGATGGGTACTCAGCCCAGGTGTGTCAGGGAAAGAAAGATAGTTGGAACCGATGGTTCTTGAGAGGTTCTTAATAATAAATGGAAATAGGCGTAGGAAAAGCAGAAGAGCTAGGAGGAGGAGTTTTAAGGAGAGAAAGCACTATGATCAAGAACCAGAAGTACAGAAAAGCATAGAATTAAATTCTGTTGTTTTTCCTCTGCTCTTATACAATAATCAATACAGATTTGTGTACCCCCCAAAAAGGTATGGGGATCTCTCCCCATCAGTGAGCAAGCAATTCTGCAGCAGCAGACATGAGGTGGGTATCCTATAATCCAATTCAATTTTTAAGTATTTATCGACTCAGTCCCAAGACTGCTGCTCCCCTTCAGATGCCAAACTCAAGCACTAGCTTGTTTTACCCATGCTTCTAACAATTGACCACACACTGGCTTCTCACAGTCACCTCCGCGGTTTAATTACCTTGCTGGAGTAGCTTATAGGACTTGGGAAGCACATTTATTTATTTGTCAGGGGCACAGATGGAGAGATGGCTGATGCAAGGCATGTGGTAAGGGCTGTGCCACCCTCCAAGAATCTCCTCATGTTCCACTATCTGGAAGCTCTCTGAACTCTGTCCTTCTGGGGTAGTTACAGAGACTTCAATATAGAAGTGTGATTGATTAAGTCCTTGGCCTTTGGTGATCAATTCAACCTTCAGCCCCTGAGGCTCAACCCAAAAAAAGTTTGGAGGGTGAGGCTGAAAGTCCCAACCTTCTAAACTACCTTGATCTTTACTGAGGTTTCTTAGGGGCTACCAGTCAACTCAGTCACTTCAGAGAGTCCAAGGATTTTAGGAATATGCCAGGAAACAGGAATGAAGATCACATATATACAATGTCACTTACATGTCTTAGTCTCATTGCTTAGGCTGCAGCCATTTTGATCTTGAGAATGTTTTCTTTTTATTTTTAAATGTTTAATCAGAAAAGGAGTCAAAATGTCCTGAAATTCCAAGAGTGATCAAAATATCTATCAAAACCTCCTGATCCAGAAATAAGAAAGTATACATGGCAAACTATCAACAGTGTGGTGGAACGACAGTGGGTTATGGGTCACAGGTGCCATTTGGACTCAGTTTATTGTCCTGGCGTAATTATTAATGGCTCCTTTGTTGCAAAAGTGTTCTGGTCAGGATAACTGATCATATGGCTGCTCTCATCACAAGGCTGGTGAGGTAGACAGGGCTGGGTCATAGGATGCATATTCTGTTCCAAGGAGCTTGGACGTTAGCAAATGGAACCAGCTGAAGAGTAAAATGGTCAGGTATGTTACAAAGGTCATTTTGCCAGCCAGATCCTGCAGCCCACAAAGTGTCTTTGTGCTGATTCAAGGAAGGGGACCCTCTTGGCAGACACAACTCTTTAATCTGGTAGTCTGAGGACTGATCACAATCCTGCCACAAACCACCCCTGGCCTTGGGCAGCTCTGTAGGCAGTGGAGAGGAGCACATTTCAGGGGATGGAGAAGCTATGGTGCCATCTGGAGCTGGTCAGGAATGGGAAAACTGGAGCTAACACAGTGGCATCAGAGAGCTGAAGATGCTATAATGACATCGTTCATAAGATCCAAACTGGGTTGAGAATAAAGAGAGGCCAAGAGAGAAGTGAGACTGAGAGAAAAACACCTCAGAAAATGCAAGGAACAAAACAAGTAGGGTAGCAGTGAGAGTAAGGACTCACCAGGGTCAGGATAGGGCAGATAATGGACTGCTGCAGAGACTTCAGACAGGAAGAATTCTGGACCCGCCATCCTTCAGAAAGATCCACATTCGAACCAAGGACTGAACTCTGGTAGGGTAGTTCCCTGCTTCAGGTCAACCTCTTACCCAGCGTTCAGGGAAGTGCTCATCTACAGGAGCATACCTGTCGCTGTGCCCTTGGAGAAAGGCCACCTTCTTTTTATGGATTATCATTTCAATATAATTTCTACCCTGAGAGGGAAAAGTAAGTCCCACCTACACAGCTGCTAGATTGTGCAAATGTGGTGGCATAAAGAGTTCAACTGAGATGTACAGAATACGTCCTCTCTGTTGGGCTTTCGAGCAAGGAAGGAAAGGGGTGAAGGAGTAATGCTGGACCTCAGAGAGCTTACAGATGAGTCAGAGTTGATGTGGGTCTGGAATGGGGAGTAGCTGTTAGGGACTACAAATTAACCAACTTTGACAGCCTGTGTGATAAATAACTGAGGATTCAAGCTTGGTTGCCTGGGACATCTGACAAAACTGACCAAAAAAAGAACACGAAGAGAAATCTACATAATGTCTCACACTCAAATACAGCTCAGAACAAAAGCAGACAGACACAAGCCTTTGAGTCAAACTCCAAACTTCTTTCAGATCTTATAAACTAACTGGAGCCAAAACCTCGTACCAGGCTTGGGTTCTTCACACAAATCACAACTAAATACAAATACAAGAGCAAAAGTATTTTCTCTAGAAGTTTGCCTCCACATATTTGTGACTTTACTTGCTCCAAAGTTAATAGACAAGGATTTAAGGAATAATAGTAATGGCAGAGAGTCAGGTATTTTTTCCTCAATCTAATAATTACTATACATAACAATCTGCTCACTTCTAAAATGCTACTTGAGATTACAGTGTTAGATGTAACTTATCAAATAGCTTATAACTGTTATTTAGAAGTTTTCACTCTAAATTCCTTATACATTATATGCAAGCAGTGAATCAAGATCTATTGAAAACCATAGTAAGTTTAATACCCAACAAAACAAAATAAAATACCCCAAAACATTTAATGGATGATAGGAAGAAGAAGGAAGTTGAGGACAGCCTCTGGAAAATGTAGTTTGAACTGAGAAAAGGTAAACAAGTCTGCATTATTCACTCTTTTCTGTGTGCTGTCACCAAATATCAATTATTGTAGCTTTAGAAGCTTTCATAATACCTTCTTGTACATCATACAAAAGACAAAAAAAGTCTCAAAATGAAACACAATCTAAACATAAAGCTAAAATTATAAAATTCTGAGAATAAGATACAGGAAAGAGATTTGGTGACTTTATCTTAAGAAAGCCTTCTTACATATGACAATAAATACATAAGAGGCAAAAGAAAAAACAGAGACCAACTGGACTCCATCAAAACTAAAATCTTGGACTGGAGGTATGACTCAAGTGGTAGAGCACTTGTCTAGCAAGCAAACCCCAGCACTGCCAGAAAAAAAAATGTAAAAATGACAACCTACAGGATGGGGGAAAATATGTGAAAACTATATTGAAACAATACTGAAAACTAAACTTACATTTGGACTACACAAAGCACACTTAAGACTCAATAATAAAAAAGACAAGTAATCCAACTTAAAAATAGGCAAAGGATATGAATAGACATTTCACCAAAGATAGACAAATAGCCAATAAGCACAAGAAAGCACGTTCAATGTTATTGCCAGGAGAGATATGCTAATCACACAGAGATAACCTTTCATGCCTAGTAGGATGGGTGTAATAAAAAAAATAGCAAATGTTGGTGGACTATGGAGAAATCAGAACTCTCAGACACTGCTGGTGGGAACGGCGAATGGTACAGATGCTGGGGAAGAAAGAGTCTGGCAGCTCCTTGAAATATTGATGATGTAGCTACCGTGTCACCTGGCATTCTACTCCTAGGTATCTGCTCAGGATTCATGTTATAACATAGACGACCCTCAAAAACATTACATTAAGTAAAAGAGGCCAGACACAAAAGGCCATGATTTATAATTCTGTATATGTGAAAAATTCAGAATAAACAAGTCCAGAGACAGAAAGTAGGCTAAAGATTTCTTAGGATTGGGGTCAGGGTACAATTGAAGGGAAATGGAAAATGACTTCTAAGAGAGAGTGCAGGATTTCTTTCAGAGGTGATGAAAACATTAAAAATGGGTGTCATATTGGTTGTGCAACTCTGACTACTCTAAAAAAAGACTGAATTGTACAGTTTAAATAAGCGAATTGTATAGTATGTGAACTGTATGGAATAATGTTGAGGTCTCCTCAGCTTTGTCACCTTTTAACACATGAACCTTTTAGTCCATGGTTCACCATGAAGTTCACCCTAGAGTTTCCTATTAATACTTCACTCACTAGGCTTAAGTTTTACCTCCCAGATTCTCTCAAGTCAAGCTGTATCTTCAAACACAGAAACACAAACAACTGAAAGAAGGACTCTATCTAGGTTTGGACTTCAGCATGAGTTTAAGTTCATGACTTTCTGGAAGAAAAAAAACAGCATGCCTTAAAAAAGAAAAAGCAAGCTGCAGGTAGTGGTGCAGGCCTGCAATCCCAACACT